CCATGATCATCCCCGATTCCCCACCATGTTATATACCTCCTTTGGGTATTATAAGAGATGATTAATGCAGGCCTGTGCTTTTTAGAGTTGTGTAAAAATGGACACGGTAACACTTCTGCCTTGTTAATGTTTTATTTGTATGTTGCAAATAAAAGGAAGCTTGTTTGTTGTATGTAGTGCTTGGTAAATGGATACAGCAATACTGAAGTAGCTGAAGCATTCTGTGTGCAGACGTAGAATGAATGATTGTTTCATTTGTATGGCAATTTTCAAGACATCCAAAGCACTTTACAGGACCAATGGGGATCCAATTCATCCACCACCATTGTGTAATTAGATATATGCTGGAACCCTGTTTTAGTCCCTATTCAAGACAAGACTAATTCAGACAAGAACTACTGGGCAGGCATTTACAGCAATAGCTTGCTGATTGGTTGACCACAAGCACCACTGATGACTTGGATGTTATGTGGAAGTGCATGGAAAGGTTCAATTAAATATGTTGCATGCATAAATTAATAGCGGCGTGCTCTTCTGATCACGATCAATCCCCCCACTAACTAACTAACAAACAAAGAAAATGACTTGATCATCCTCCATTGTTTTGGTGTAGCTTCATATGGAATTATGTGTGAAATTTTACCTGTGAGCGTTTTGCATCTCCCATGGTAATTTAACATAAGAATTCCCAGTTCCTGCTGTGTGATGTGAAGGTTACACACAGAAGTGGCCAGGAGCTGTCAAAGCTCCCAGTTGAGACAGCCTTGGAACTGTCTTCTGGAACTTTGATGTGAAAGTGCCTTTTCAAAAGATGCTCACAGATCCTTTAGGATCCGGACATCAGTGTTATATCTCATCTGAAGGATGGTGCCATTTTTACGCCACAGTGTCCCCATCACTGCCTGGGGACATTGGGATCCACACAGACCACAGATTGGGCTCCTATGTGAGCCACTACAACACGTCTTCCAGCAGCAGCCCAGCTTTTCTACTTGCTCGCCCATCCAAGATCTAAACCTGCTTCACTTCAGACGGATTACTTAGTTTGAACTACAGATGGTATGGCTGCTGGCCGATCCTCCGAAAGGACGGTTAGGGACACCTAAAAACATGAATCCAAAGAATTTTAGCGTTTTCTCCATTTCTCAAAGTATGTGCAGGCATTTCATGCTAATGACAAGGAATAATTCTAAAGTTATATGAGGTCCATACTCACACAAATAATATTTCACTGTCACTAAATATATGTTTGTAAGGAAAAGTAGTAAAGATTCCCCAGAGTTCTTGATCACTTGAATACAGACAGTGTTATCAAATTATGATGGTGGGGGAGATCAGAGAGAGAAAAGGAGTTCCATTTGGCACCACTAGGGTGCTAAGGGAGTAATTGAATTTTCAGTGACCAGACAAGTGACTGAGGGCGCTTCTCCACTGCACCGAGTATGGTACTTTTGGTATGGTACTTTCGGTACTTTAGCTTTTCTATTGACTTCTGGTTGAGTACCAGTACCAAAAGTGCCAAACCACCTGTGGTACTACTTTGGGGTGGGACTTCAAATGCTGTCAATCTGTCGATTGGTTATGCAAATGGCTTGCCTCTGAAACACAATACAAATTATATACCTAGACTTAGACATGCAGTTTACAAATCCTGTTCTACCTCAAAATGTCCTCCCTGTCATGGATTATCTGGTCACCGTACTTATACACTTTATTCGAATACCGATAAACGACCAAATATTAACACTCGTTTCCTTGCTTTGTATTTTTTCATCTGGCAAATCAGAAAACACATGCACGTTTTATTTTTGATCAAGTGATGAAAGGGAAATATTCCTGACATTTGAAAGCGCGTGACTTCAAAAGAGAACAATGGGCCTCATTCACCAACCGTTCTTAAAAAAAAAGTTATTAAAGCCCACTTACGCAGTTCTCACGAAAATTCTGACATTCGTAAATGTTTCCTTTTTGGGGATTTTTTCTTAGGAATCTACTTTTTCTAGGAATTTACTTCAATTCCACAGTTGTAAGATATAAGGTTTAAATTACAATATTTTTTTGTCATTCGTAATATTTTCATTATTTTACAAAGCATCATGGTCTTCTAAAATAAATAAACACTACACTGTAACTCATATCAATTATGTGAATTGGAAACTGTACCATCCAGTACCCAATAGGATCAGGGTTGCCCACTGCAGGCCTACGACATGAAACTGCTGAAAGCTGTCCAAATGCTCAGCTGATGTAACACCTGAGAGTGCGGTCTTTTAAAAGGGCAGGGGTGGTACCCTGATGTCCTGGCTAAAATTGCCCACTGTGGCCTACCAAATCTGGCCTCCTAATTATCCCTTCTAATTGGTGAATTCCCTCCTGCCGCTTCACCATCTTAGGTATTGTGTGGTGAGCGCACTGACACAGAATGACCCTGACCCTTTTGTGGTCTCAGAGGGTCAGGAGCTCGATTTTAGGTCTTATTCAAAAGGACCGTGCGATGTTTACAGCACAGTGTCCCCTGTCACTGCACCGGGGCACTGCGATTCGCCTGGGTGTCGTCACTAATTTTCAAATCGATTCCGTTCCGATTCACGTACATGCTACTGCCTTGATAAATCATAGAAGCGATAAGCACTGAAGTGGCAGTGAAGAGAGAGACAGTTTGAGCACCACAATATGCCTCATTAATTTAAATTTAAATGTACCACTAATTTGCTCATCAAATTGTGGCTGTAAACATTTGTATAGGACCGACAAGGTGGCATCTGGATAAACTTTCACACGCATTAGCTAAAGCCCTGTAGTGACATTGCATTTGTTGAACAGCGCCAACTTTCTCTCAGTTTGTGTTGAGACCATCCCCGGTATCCCCAACCAGCAAGGCACCCTTGAGGTACCCTGAGCAAGGTACTGCCCCCAAGCACTGCTCCCCGGGCGTTGAATTAGCTGCCCCTTCCTATGTCACATATGGGTTAAATGCAGAGGACACATTTCGTGGTTGTGCACTGTGTGCTGTGGTGTGTTAATGACCACTGATCACTAAATTCAAATTCAATTCAGACTATGTCAGCAAGTGCACCACCTGCAGTTTAGCATAGGTAATGCATGGGGAGCTAAGCAGGTTTGGAGTTGGCCAGTATGTCGACCAACTAGGAAAGCTGGGTTGCTGCTGGAAGAGGTGTTAGTGTGACCAACAGGTTAGTCCATCCAGTGGTCTGTGTGGATCCCTATGTTCAGTGCAGTGACGGGCACACTGCTGTAAGAAAATGGTGCCGTCCTTCTGATGAGACGTAGATCCAAAGTCCTGAAGCCATGAAGTCGTAAAATATCCCTGGGCATCTTTCGAAAGAGTATGGATGGTACCCTGATGTCTTGGCTAAAACTGCCCACTGTGGCCTTTTCTAAACTGGCCTCCTAATCCTCCCCTGTACCTAACTGGTGAATTCTCTCCTGCCCCTTCACCACCTTAGCTACTATGTGATGAGCGTACTGGTGCAGAATGGCTGCCGTCGCATCATCCAGGGGGGGGGGTACAGAGTGGTGGGGGTTGAAGTGGCTCCCCATTGGTCCCGTAAAGGGCCTTGGGTGCCTTAAAAATTGCTATATAGATGTAACATTCATTCATTCTATGTATGCACATAGAATACTTCAACTACTTAAGTACAGCTAGATACATTTACCAAGCACTACATACTGAGGAAAAACTACACAAAGTCAGCCAAACAGGCTTCCTTTTATTTATAACATACAAATAAAACACTAACAAGGCAGAAATGTTACCGATTCCCTTTTTACACAAAACTAAAAAGCACAGGACTGCATTAATCATCTCTTAAACCGCACACGTTCAATGCTAATTTGTCTGCAGGAAATATTTCACTTAATCAGTGACACCCCCCCCCCCAAAAAAAAATGAATACCCAAAGGAGGTATATAATATGATGGGAGATCGAGGATGACCATGGGATAGCAACATCATCATATAACAACCAAAAAAATCAAAGGAGAAAGACGACAGCTTTTAATCTCCATAAAGTAAAATACAGCCAAACCCCCACTTTTCCAACCATCAGTTTGAAATCCACAAAACATCTAACCAGCCCCCCCAAATCCACATTTGACACCCGCCCCCCCCCCCCCACTGGGAAAAACACTGAGAGACTGACACAGTCCATTTTCGTAACCTGAGAGATAAATATTTATAGTAGTAAAACTGGCAAAATAACACAGAACATCAGGAACATAGGAGATTCTAAAGTTACGTAACCATAGTTACCCTTTCAATCACATTTACTCTCAAGTGCTTCATAATCCGAATGGACTGTAAAATGCAGTAACAGCAAATTCCAGCCCTGAAGTTTAATGCACTTCCAGTTTTAAATTTGTCATAAGCAATAAAAATGACAGTGGCCTTGTGTGTTCGCAAAATGCAATTTTTAAAAAAAAAAATCTCAAGGACAGTCTTATGTACAAGAACGTTGTCCCATTTGAAAAAAATTGGGGCAACTGTATTTCTGTACAATTTGCTTATTTTGAATATATTATATCGCTAGACTCTGACATGCCCCTGATTTCCAACAGAGCTTTTCTTTGGGAATAGTGACACAGCTGCTTGTGGTGTCTTTAAATACTACACTATCAGGGATTGTGTGGAGACCTATTTTATATAAATGTTGAGAGATTTCTTTAAATGGGTTCCTGGTTCCAAGTGGGGAAGGGGGCAGTTTTTAAATCCTTAAAGAAACAGGAACTCCCCCCCCTCCCGCCCCCCCCCATTACTTCAGTGGCAGCACCCCCCGCAGTGGCCCCCACTGTGGCTATGACCCCCGACCTCCCCATATTTCGTCCGTCGGCTCAGAATCTCATAGGAACAGTCATCTCCGCAGCAACCGGACATGCTGGGCGAGGTCTCATCAATCTCAAACCTGAAGTTCAAAGATAGCATACATATTCTAATTATGACATCACTACGCACCATAGAAGCTGCACATACATTCTAATTATGACATCACTATGCACCATAGAAGCTGCACATACATTCTAATTATGACATCGCTATGCACCATAGAAGCTGCACATACATTCTAATTATGACATCNCTATGCACCATAGAAGCTGCACATACATTCTAATTATGACATCGCTATGCACCATAGAAGCTGCACATACATTCTAATTATGACATCACTACGCACCATAGAAGTTGCATATTCATTAGTTATGTTGATACTTCATACCATGCCAGCAACTAGGGCTATATTCATGGCAACCAAAAAGGTAAAAGCTATATAAATAACTATAAAACAATTAAAACATTCTAAATAAAGACGCTTAAGATTAGTTTTAAATAAAAATCTAAAAAAGCCTCAGGCTTGACTTTACTAAAAACCTCTTTGAAAGAGTCAGTAAAACGGTAACTCCGCCTAATGGAGTAGTGAGGACCGTACAATAAAATGTGTTAAACGGTTAAAAGTTTTACACATAGGACATATGGATCTTCACTTGTAAGTAAAAACATACGAGTCGTCCTGGCACTGCCCACCTCATATAAACAACCTGGTCCCAATGGTTTTTAACTTTTGTCATGTAAACTACATAGGAAAGAGACAGTATTGTATGTACAGTTCACAGTAAAGAAGAACCTTGACATCAAGGACAGGAAAAGAGAAGAGACCCTGTACAAGAACTTACTGTAAGGCTTCCCTGAAGAACTGATATGCACCGTGATTGTGTTTGAAGACTGTCAACATCACCTTCCTCATCTGTGTGCTAAAGAGCAAGAAAACGGGGGTAGAGTTTATCTATGACGTGCACAGCAACCTCCATGCTAAGATACTTTCTCTTATCTTGAGTATTCCAGCTCAAATGTTGCCCGAAATAGAATCAAGTCAAACCCCCGTCATTAAAAGGCAGGAGAAAAACAAAATCATGCATTGCCACGGTCTACTCAGTCAGGAGCTGGTCAAAAGCATTACTTTACGAGTAAACTAAGCTGACTGTATCACCTGCAACAAAGCTGCACTTCACAATTGACCGCTGCATGTACTGGGAAGAGATGAGGTGTGAGTCCGGTTTACTAGGGGTCTGATACCTGTTGGCGATTAGCTGTAAGATCTGGATCAGGAACTTGCCCAGTCCTTTTCTTCTGACGCGGCTCTCCAGCTGCACTTCGTAACTGGAACACAGACGCATCGCTAAATAGGGCTACGTGATATCGCATCGCAATTATATGGCACACGCGCAACAATCACCACCCCGTTACGCGACGGGTGAAACATTTGTCCATATGCCGGCGTTTCAGTACTATACGGACATTTACTTATGCTTCGGTAAGCAGATTAGTAGCGCGCCTGAAATATTGAGAGGTAACGACACCCAAATTTTATAAACGCGTTTGACTTTAAACTGCAAAAAGTACCACTATACCACCCTTTTACCATGATTATCCACAATATCTCCTCTTTTAAAACATGCTATGACTGCTGAGCTGTCCCATTCTTCACCGCCACGTCAATACTTATCGCTTTCATAATTTACTAAAACAATAGATTGTGGCGTGCTCCGGATATCCAAATTTAATATACATAAGAATAATGGTGTAGGAGTTTTCGGTGAATATTTGCAAGAAAATTAATGCAGAAAATTAACCACTGATTATAAAAATTTTTAAAATTTAGAAATCAGCTTTTCTAGAACCATCCGGTCAGAGACTCGCACTTCCCATTTACCATATCATTCCCAATTTGCATATCACTCCCATTTACCGTTGATGAAACATACGACAGTCTTGGCCAACGGCGTAGCAAGGAATGTCATCTTAGATGCCCTCTGACCAGAACCTGACTGGAACTTGGACCGCCGACCCGGGGGGTTGATCAGTAGAGACTGGGCCCCTTCCATTCCCGGAAACCCCCCCCCGCCCCATCAGCGACGACCCTGGTCCAGGCCAAACTGGCCACCTGTTGAACAGAAACTGAGCCCCATGACGCTGGAGTCACCCCATGGCCTCACCAGTACAGCACTTCCTCGCTGCACTCCACGTCGAACCGGAAATGGGAGAACGCCAGGGGGGTGGAGTCGGCGTCGCGCGCCAGCAGGTACCACGCCCTCTCGTCCTTCATCTCCTCCTTCTTCTCCCGCTCCTTCCATCCCCACTCGCTCTGCTCGTAGCTGGAGAGCAGAAGGGAAGGTCAGGAACAAAAGACCCAACAAGCCCCAATCCCAAGCACCCCACAATCACGTAGCTCTTACAGGCTTTGCATGTTGGCCCTGGTGAGCTGATAGGCCCATTCCACAGCGCTAGGGGCCAAGGCAGAGACGCGCTTGCATTCTATCTGTAGATTCAGTCTGGGAGAACGACACAATAAGTAACATTGAGCATTTTTATATGCGAGGACATCGTCCCACAGTCCCACATTCCGAGAGACGATCGACGCTTGGGATGCTCACCCGTTTCTGTCGTACTTCTTGAACACGGGAAAAGCAGTCAGAGGATCTTCCAGCTGCAAGGACAAAACCGGTTCAACCATTCGGCCTTTTCGAGTCAAGAATAATCCAGTAAAGCTTTACTGTCACCTCAGCCATGTACAGAATACAATAAGACAAAACGTTTACTTTACAGTGACAGTTTTGGGATAATTTGCAAAGAAAAATCCTGTCCAATTATCCTCTATTACAGAGATGCCTCTTATGTTCCCTGAATGTTCTTATGTTGCACTTCTGCTCCTTGAATAGTCTTTTTAGCTTCTGGCTTTCTTTAGAAGATGCTGTACTGTATAGCTCCTGGCCCAGTGCTGCTGGCACTCGTACCTGTACTTTCACTGGAAGCTCAGCCTAGCTGCGCTTTTGCCTTATGATTCCCTGATGTTTGTAATGTACATTGAACAAAAGCATCTGCTAAATGTGCAAAAGATAAATTATCGACAATTAAAAGGCAAGGGGACACAGAGTGAAGACTTATACCTATATTTTCTACCTACAACTGAACTCAGAAATCTCAGTCTGACAGACTGATGTGCTGCTACTGTTGCTACCAAAAGTACGGTACTTCAAGGTGTTGGTTTTCCACTGGCGTAAAAACTCGTACCGGTACCGAAAGACATCACAACACGAGGTGGCGTATTTTGTACTGAAATCGAAAAATGGCTGTAGCATATTACAGGACTGTACGATGTGCAATATTAATACCAACATCGCATGCTATGCACATCCAATTCTTACATCGCTAGTCAGATATATTAAAATAAGGCTTTTTCTTTCTTTCATTTCTGTACAGACATAGCGCAAGGGGTTAAAGTTTCGCTAAATTTTTTTTACTCTGTTACTCTGTCATATAAAAAAAAAACCTTACCAAGCTTTGCAATTTTAATTATTCCTTTTATAGATTATCTATCTTTGCATGAAAGCCGCATGCATTCTCCGTAACAATCAATCATTTTCATCCTTGTTTAAAATCACTCAAAGATGGGTTTTGGGGAAATTTAAGAACTCCTCTTCTTGTTTTATAAATACCCCAATGTTTATTACAACAAAAATACATCACTACGACAGCATGCATATAGTATACTAAACAAAATACTTTAAATATTTTATCATGCCATCTTTTTGTTGATCTTTTTGTTGTATCTGTTCTTCCAACCAGATCGCAATAATATATCTTATTAAACTTCATTTATCGTTGTTTTCTGAGTGTGCACCTGTTTTAAAGGTATCGTTTCAGCGGCAGGCTATTTGCATAACCAATCATAAAAGAAAGCATTTCAAGTCCCACTCCAAAGTATCGAAGTAGTACCCCAGCTGATTTGCCACTTTCGATACTGGAACTTGACTGCAAGTCAATGGAAAAGCGAAAGTACCGAAAGTACTGTACTCGGCACGGTGGAAAACCGCCCTTATAGGTCCCTTTTAAGCACCAATTATGTACAATATTTCATACGAGCCATACATGTCATTCAACGCTACTAATTCACTTTTATTCCACAACTGTCTACTGTGCCCTTACTGTACTACTGCTGCTGTTTTGAACCCTAATGTTTAGTCATATATATAATATACGACTAACTACACACACATATATAGCTAGCCTATAAATTGTACTTAACACGGAGAATCTGTACCTTTACTGCGCTGATATATTATATAGTAAGATAGCAATATAAAAATATTGCTCTTACTTATTCTTTGTACATGTGTGTGATTTTAAATATAACGCATCATTTGCGGCTGACACAATCGCACAATGCTTGCACAATGACTATAAAGTTCTTGAATCGTGAATAAACTTCCCATATTAGCCAATGAACAGCCACAATACATAACTCCGGGAAAGTAGTGCTTTCCCCCCCCTCCGTCAAACCACTGTGTTTATTTGCCTGTAAGACAGAGGATGGGTATGGACATCACGCCAAGGGGTGAAGTTATGTGACGAGCATCATGTGATCGGCCCCTTCCTTTACCTATAGGTCATTTCCAGTGGCATAAAACAGCCTCCTGCTTCTCTTTCTGGTCACACAGAAATGCTAAAACCTGTTTGCTACATCCACAGGCCCGGTGCGCTTCTCATTTTCCCTGCCGAACATGAAACAACCAACCGTGCATGTTCCTCATTAAACCCAAACCCAAAATCCCTGCTCCCTCTCACTGTCTCCATGTCACACAGATCTGCACGTCACGGCAGCTGGGAATAGCTGCGGCGCTGATGCTCTGCGAGGTATCATACAAATGCAAGGAGAAGGTTTCGGAATCTTTGGAACTCCATTTACCCTGACCAGGATGGAAAGGGGAGATGGATGGATGGGTAGAAGAAAAAGACATTTATTTTACATACGCTTTTATTCAAAGCGATGTATATTTTCGAGAAAGAAAGGTCAGACAATCCATGATGCAATCTGGGGTTAGATCACTCTACGGAGTCGGGGATTTGAACCAGCGACCTTCCCGTCATGGACACAGCACCCTAACCCATTAAGCCACATCCCCCCAGAGCAGAAGATTCAAAGGAGTAGAGATGTTACTTTTCAAAAGCGCATATCTGAACCTTTTAAAGGTACCCCCCCCCCCCCCCCGTCACGTAGGGCAGGGGTGGGTAATGCAGGCTTTTGGGATAACCTGTAGGTCAGCTGTTCAAACCCAGGTGTGAGGACTCTTCAGCCAATCAGTCCTCTAATTAGTAATCTAATTAGGGAGTTGCAGCGAAAACCCGCATACACACCGGCCCTTTGCAGATAAGATTGCCCACCCCTGACGTAGGGTGTCACCCCCAACGCCCACAGCTCGCCGCTCACCTTGTTGGCAGCCTCTACTCTGGCACACACAGCATCCATCGCCGCACGCTCTTCCAGGCGCCTCTGCTTCTTCTCTTTTGCTCGATTCGATTTTCTCTGGAGGTGGGAGAGGGCAGGACAGGGGTGTTACGTCACCACATTTATTACGAGAGACATGTTTTTTTTTTTATATATATATAAACTTTGGATGCCCTGCATTGCCAAATATGCAATCCACAATTTATCATGAGCAATTACGTGCAATCAGAGCAATTAAAAGTACTTGTTAATTTCTGAATTTTGGTGGACATTTAAAACACCATAAAACAGAAGACGCACACGAAAACCCTGGATATCAATGAAAATCAAATCAATTCCACCTTTTTAAACTTAAGATTAAAATACTCAGCCCCATGTATCTAGGACAACATGATACACTGCTATTCGATTAGGTTGATTAATTATCTTGATAACATGATTATATCAAGAGGACAATCAAACTGCTACATCGGTAATCGTGTTGGAGTTTCGAGATAGCAGATTAACTTATGTAGAAAGAAACGGGAAATGATTTACATCATGCAGTATATTTAACTGGGTTATTTCAGCGGCATAATTTTGCGGTGTGATTTGCAGGACTGAAGCAATGCAGGGATACGCAAACCACCCCCGCCACCCCCCCATCTCAAACTACTACGAAGATGCAAACTTCAGAGAAAAATCTCACACGATTTAAAAATGTGCACAAATTTCCAATATTCCCCCTTTCAGAGCCACAAAATCAGACGATGTTGAGGCAGTACTTGAACTACGCCAAAGTATGCGTAACAAAAGCATCAATGTAAATATATACAGCACTATGCGTGCATTCTACTGAGTAATATTGCATCCTGTCTAAGACAGTATTTGGGAATTTTCAAAAATCCCATTTTTTGTTTCGGCCTCCGAGCACGCGATGCTAATCCTTCCGCGTGCCGTCGCTGTGGCCTAACAGAATAAAAATGGATTCCTCCGTAATGAGCGCACACTGCTCATAAGTGCAAAAGCACACAAACAAAACATCTACGGGTGGAAAAGACACGAAATTGGTCTGGATCTTAAAAGGGGGGAAAATGCAAATCGGTCGAATGAACGCCGGCAGAAAAACAGAAACGGCGGCCGCGATGTTAGTTTTAAAATCCGTGCAAATTTTAGTGTCGGCACACATCCATTCACGGGCAGATGCCAGTAGCGATTTCTTGATCGCACGCTCTTTGTTCACACCGCTGCACGCATTTCACTCCTCCGTCACTCACTCCTGCACACACACGCACAAACTCACCCCCATATTGTTGTATTAAAGCGACCTTCTCCGTGCAACTAGATACAGCGCTTCTACCAAATAACTGCTCTCTGTGTAGGACTTTTATAAGAAACGTTCACTGATAAAACACCCAGCTAGCCGACTAATGAGAAATAAATGTAGAAGTTAGCCAGCCGGCTAGATCGCTAAAAGATCGATATCAATAGTCCCGGTTTTTTTTTTGGTCCACCGATCTAGCGACGGGAATGAGGACCTAAATCGCCCCTGATCTATTTTTCTCTTTCTTTGCTTCTCCTTCTTTCTTTTTTTTCTTTCTGGCTCTCTGCAAAATTAACACGAGAGAAATGCCGTTTCCTCTTTCCCTCTACAGTCTTGGGGAAATTACGTCATGAGCTTTAGGGGTCAAGCCATATATGCCTCCCCACGCTGCTGTTTGAATGTGAAGAAATTGGATTTTCAATCATTTAATACAAAAAAATGATACTTACAAACCTTAAAAATATACGCGAGAAATGTATTACTATGTAACTGTAAAAATACAGACACGTGATTCGAAACAAAAATAACGACAAACGAGAAAACAAATGACAACTCATTGAAATCATTTAAATCGGATACTTTGTGTTGTTGAATACATATAGGCGCATTTTCCATAATGCATGTTCCTGGCTACGTTCTGCACAATATTTAACGTTTATAAACTTTTTCCTAATGGCGCCACAATCAGCACTGGGTAATTTCTCGAAAACAAAGCTAAAAAAACAAAACTACTGGAAATCTTAAATTCTCATAGTACTTTAGTTGCGTTTATTCCGAAATGTTTATATTTTGATGTAGGTGTAATATATGTGGAAGTGTCTGCCTTCCTTCTCACACGCATTTTAAATTATTTTGCATAAACTGGCATAATTGCCTGTGTCGTCCTTTGCCGTTATGAGCGAAATCATAGTGAGGATATTGATTGAATGGTTCGATTCCGCTCTTTGTATAACCTGAACCCCCCCCCCCACCCCCAACACACACACACACACGCTTCGAGCTTGTTTCCTCCCGCAATCCGAAGATGCAGCTTCGTGAACTAACGTCTATAAATTGTACGTAGTGTCTGATTTTTTTTTGTTTGCGTGCCTTGTGTCCTGTACTGCACGGGAAACTCTCTAGCAACACCCCCGCGACCCTGTCAAGAATAGGCGGTCGAAAGATGGTTGGATTGTATAGTTGCTATCCTCATCTACGTGTAATACTGCTCATATCCAGCAGATGGCCCCATAAAGTAATAATGCAAGTGGAGAAACGAAGTTACATTACATTCTGCGCAACACAATGATTTTCCCTATGCAGTACACAGAAATTAGAATGTTAATATTAGACTATAACTAGACGATAACAGAAAGATATATGGATGGTTCAATATAGCAAAGTCCTACGTATTATAGAACAATCAGTCAACGTCAATATTTAACATGCAGTACAGATGCACATAAAACAAATGTTATACGCCACGGTCCTTAGCACGATGAACGGTTGGAAGATGGCAGATGGATGGTGGATGAATGTTAGTTATTTTCCACAAGGCAAAAAAAACATATAAAGTAAGGAAAAATATAAAATGTTTATTAAACGGGTAACGATATAGTTCAGCTTGTGGTACTATTACGTTTAAAGCCAAGGTAATTCCACCAGCATTAGGCTGTTGTTTCTCTCGAAAAAGACTTTGCTACTCATGTGTTATGGATGTTAGTTAGCGTTTGTGCTCTGATACACAACCATCTCCCCATCCCCCACTTCAGCCTCCAGACAACAGCCCCCCCCCCCCCGAAACACACACCCAATTCTGTCTAGGGGGCAGATGGCCCCCCCAGTGTCTCCCTCCTACGCCCTTTGTGAGCAGGTCATATGTCTTAAGGGAGGGGGGCGACGGCATCTGACAGGACCAGGACTGGGGGGTGGGTAATTCTCCGCAAGGCAATAAGGACTTTTCAAACTAAGGCCTCGACTAAATTTTCATAGTAGTTATCTGTAAGTTAACACATTCAAATATTAAAATTACATCTATGTAAAAGTACAAGTCGAACAGGGTTATGCTTTCTATACGTACTGAGACACAAAGTCAAAAACACAAGCATACAGTATTCATGTAACGTGGTTCATTTCCTCTGCAATTTTTTCAAGACAGAGCCTGCCCTAGTATGTTTTTGTTGTTTTGCATTGCTCCCCCTTACACTAAAATTTCCGAACGGAGTAAGTCAAAATCCCACCAACCGCAATTCTGAAAGTTTTGTGTGCCCACCGATACAGCCCACGGCTGGGATGACAAGAAGGGGTCATGCCTGGTCATCCCAACATAAACAAAGTTACGAAAGACAGATGGAGGGTTTGGGTGCAGAGGAGGAAAAAAAACACGACCATCTGAAAGGAAATAGAGGAGCAATGTCAGGAGGAAATAAAGAGAGGAAGGAGTGGATGACTCAGAGACGTAGAGAAATAGGAAGAGTCTTGGTAGTAAATTGTAGGGAGCGTGCACAAACAGGTTGCTCGGCGTGAAAACATCCACGATCGGGCACTTCCTCCACCACGCATTCATGAAATACGAATTCAGATATTTTGCCCTACAATTTATTTAAATGCACGCGCAGTTAAAATCGCGCCCTATACAGCAACAGATCTTCTCCGAAGGACACGCATTGAGGAACTACTAATAAGATTATAACTTTAATAGTGTCAAAAGGGGGAAACCATCCAACGTGGGGGACCGGAAACCGGCCACAGCACCGCCATAGTATAGGATCTGTTAAAGCACGTTTTTGAGGTGAGGACCGATAGGGGGAACTACTTTCAACTGAGCGGCGAAGCCCTATATGTACTTGTGATAGCAGGGTGTGATGAGGCTTGCCGGCACCCATAATTTACGCCGCCGACTTTATTGTGCCGTTATTATGGAGTCTCTGCTCGGGGGGGTTTGCTGGGGATAATTTGCGCGTTTAAATGTTGCCGTTTTATCAGCCGCTGTGCGATGCGCCTACTGTCCGGTAGCGCCGAGCGTATCGATCCAGGGTCCGTTTTACAACAAAGGGACGCGATCTGTTAAATACCCGGCGTCGCATTCGCAACGGGAGGACAACTTCAAGCACAAGAATAAATAAAGACATCTAACTTATAAAACAAGTTACCATCCGAGGGACAAAGAAGAGAGGAAAGGGGAAAAAGGTGATTTATTTTCCATTTTTTTCCCTGACAAAGCAGCATAAAACACACGTCGGATTGTTGCTTCTCTTTTAAAATGAGTTTCTTTCTATTTGTCTCGGCGGAACAATAGGAATAAAGGACCGATCTGGTAAATTTTAAAATAAGCGGGGCAAACGGAGAGGTCGGGTAATAGGGGAAAGGCGAGGAATGAGTACAGGGGGGCTGTTTTCTATTTCTTTAGCCGGATAGCTTAGCATTCCGGTGACTACGTGCCAAAGCTGGACAAGTGTTCAGATTTATACCGGATCATTTACATGCTGGCAATACTCATCTGAGAGATGACACGAATAATCCTTTTGTTTCACTGGCTAAACTGCACCAATGACAAACTAGAAAAACAATGCAAGTGCTTTCTAATTTTAATCCCGCAGCTCTTAATTGACATCATAACGTATGGCGTTAATAAAGGCTATTTACGCAGGGATATCATGTTCAACTCGGAGCCTTAATTGTCGTTTTTATCACACGCCGGTACTATTGCGTGCGGGGGGGTGCGCATCTGGAGATGGGAAGTAGTCAGATAAAGTTTGATGGCGAAGTAATCTGCGGATCAGAGTTCAAAATCCGAAATTGTACCTCGGGATTTATTGGGAGTTCACTTTTAATATTTTAGTATTGCATTTGCAGAAGATAAAATCGATAACAAAGCCCAAGGTAACTTGAGTTTCACACAGACCATTACTTATATCCGAACAAAGGGTACTTAAGCATTAACCGATAGATACAATGACGAGACTTGTGCCTCTTTGAAAATAATGAATAATATAACAAACTCGCACTTTTCGGCCTTTGAAAATGACAGACGTCGGCGCAAAAATTTGCTTAGCCAGTAGTCAGTGATGGCTGTAGCCAAACGATTTAAGGTTTTCATGGGGTGGGGGGTGTTCTGTACTTGCAGAGAAATCCCATTTTGAAAGGTTAATTTGCTGAGAAGTGCTTAAGTGAAATGTGCAGGTTAAAGTTAGATGTCGCTTTATTCCGTTTATTATATTACCAATGAGTTACTTTCTTATAAGACTGTCCATTGGTATTTTTTTTTCTGATTGTTTTCAAAAGAATTCATTGGACTAGCAAAAGGAATTTGACATGTTTCCTAATATCTCTGTAACTTTAAATTGCCTATCTTGCATGTCTGTTTTACAAGGCTTTTCTTCTGAATTTTTATGAAAAAAAATCCTTTGTGGGGGATTTAATCATTTCCATACTCCTGGTAATAGAACAGCCAAAGAACATCAATAAGGAGGTTCTCTGTATTTCTAATGGGGGGGTTTAATGCTTCATAAACATCGGGAAAGGGCTGATGTTTATGATGCGTGTAATACGTGAGATCCCCCCCTCCCCCCACACACCTGACTGGGAAATGATGAAATGTGAGTCACGCAGAGGTCGCGTGCACTACAGGCCGTGGCAGGGTTAGCTTGCGTGTGTTAGCGATGGAGGCCGCTAAAGGCCATGTTGCATGCGTGTGTGTCACCAGGGGGCGCCATGGAACGCCCAGGGTCCGGTGTACTGTCCAGGAGCCGAGCCAAGACGGCCAGTGGCAACGGCAGCAGTCAGCAGTCGGAGGAAGACAGCAGCGATGAGGACCGGACGCACGGTACTGAGTTTCACATGCTACTGTATAACACACTGCGCTGACTCCACACTGCTTAGTGCTAATGGAGATGGTTGTAGGTTCTCGTCCCATAAGAAGGAAACTTAAGACAGTGCGGCATAACAGATTTTAGCTTACCATTGGAAGCTAGCCTAGTCACCATCTTAAACCATCTAAGAATTTGTTTATGTATTTACATGCATCATTTTCCACTTATATACTGTTGCTAATTTGAAAGATTTTTACAGCCCACTTATATACTAGTTTATATCGGATGAGAACTTGGCCACCTGCTGGATTATGAAGCTTTGACTTTGTTGAGCTTAGAACTCATAACAAACATGTCTGTCTGACCGGCAGTCATTCCTTCCTCACTATTACAACATCAAACAAAGGCCTGTCTCAAGAGAATCAGCTGTGTTTCACTGTAAAATTACAAAACTGACCTAGAGGGGAATCCCTGAAACAGACTGAGGAGATTGGACCGGATACATGTCACGGCTGTAAAAATCTCAGAAGCTCCCACGATGCTCTCTCTCTAGCTTTTCTGTGACGCGTGAGGCGTCTGATGTCATGCTGCGTTTATGCCGTATTTAACGGCGTCTTATCTCACTTTCCCACCACGCCTCATGGCTGAAGCGTGCTGACGCGCCGCAGGAACTATGAATCACGATGCATCACGTGTGAAAATGCCGATCGCAGATTGGTAGCAGCCGGGGGTTGCTGTTCACCACATTTGGATCCATATTAAACATTTGGTAGTGCTTAGAAGTTCGCTCGCTGTCTTTTATGAAAATCTTATTCTCCCTTAACTAGTAACTTCTTGTTTGTTCAGCTGTCATTAAAGGGACCCTATTATGCTAATTTTCCCTGGTCCTGATTTTATTTTTAGAGTCTACTTGAATAGATATACATGCTTCAGTGTTCCAAAAACACATTATTCTTCTCATACTGTACATCTATATTCACTGTGTCCATAACTGTCTCTGAAATGCTCTGTTAGAGCCCCCCCCCCGATGACCACAGTCTACTCTGATTGGTCAGCTTGCCTTACGTATTCTGCCCCATCTTGCAGTCTGCAGACAGATCGTTGCAGGTAGGCAGCCAATGAGGATTGCGTTACGAGGTGACCTCACCATGTCACGGAAGTAAGGACTAGAATTCTAACAAGTTGTTTCAGGCAGATTAGAGAAGAGTGGTTAGTGTGGTGAGAGTTACTCCCGTTGGTGTCTACTTAAAAAGGCCTTAAGACTTTGCAGACATGCACATAAAGCTATATAACACACTAAAGGGAAAAACCGGAAAAGCATAATAGCCCCCTTTAAACACTTGTGTGACCATCCTTACATCATCTGCTTCCATCCTTACAGACAGCATGATCCGGGTAGGTGGGAACTACCAGCCCCAGATTCCTGAGTACAAACCTGGTAAGGATGGATGGATGGATAGGAAATTGGGGCTAGGGAGAGGTCAGAGGGAAGCTGGGGAGGCAGGAGTACAGTGGGGGGAGAGAAAATGGCAAGGGGGGGGGCCTGTATATGAGATGAGACATGGGGGGAAAGATGCATGTTGGACTTTCCAGCAACTTCGGCATGTTAAGTCAGTGAGTCTCATATCCGAAAGCACGCGAGTCTGTGCCTGTGGTTGTCTGTGTGTCACTGAAGACGAGCGTGCATGCTGGCGTAGACCTGACCCTGTGTCCGTGTCCCTGCAGACAGCCCGGCTCGCTATGCCGAGAATGACCAGCGGGGGGTGCTAGTGTGGTCCCCCAGCCACCTGGTTTCGGAGGCCCAGCGTAAGTACTGCCATGTGCTAGTCCGTACGGCGTAGGGGGACAAGGCACACAGGCAGTCTGTTCTAACACCCTGTGTCCTCTCCCTTAGTGGATGAATACATCCTGATGGCCAAAGAGAAGCATGGATACAACATTGAGCAGGTAAACATTCCTCATTCAACAGGGCGCTTTCAATGAGGCTAAAACTGAGGTAACGCTAGATATTCTAATAAAATGCCAGTCTTAAACACTTTTTTTTAATCAACTAGAGGAGGTGGGACCAAGACATCTGATTGGCTAGTCCAGCCTCCTCAAGTTGTTTGGACCCACCTCTTCTACAATCTGATTGGTTCTCTGTCTGAACCAATAGATTTTGATTCTGCCCTCAGAGCTTTTTTTTGTACGTACAACTCTCATGAGCTTGTTTTGGTCTGTAAAGTAAGAAAAACTTCAGATCAAGCCCCCCCCCCACCATCTTATCTTGCCCCACCCAGGCCCTAGGCATGTTGCTGTGGCACAAGCACGACGTGGAGAAGTCCCTAGCCGACCTGGCCAACTTCACCCCTTCTCCAGAGGACTGGACGGTGGAGGACAAAGTGCTGTTTGAACAGGCCTTCAGTTTTCACGGCAAGAGCTTCCACCGCATCCAGCAGATGGTGAGGGGGTGTGGCACTGCGGTGGATGGAGCTACGCGATTGGGCGCGGCAATTGTTTCTATTGATTCTACCCACCAATCAAGGCGAAGGGGCAAAGTGACTGAAAGTGTGCTCTGTCATGCTCCTGTCCCAGCTCCCAGATAAGCTCATCTCCAGCCTGGTGAAGTATTACTACTCGTGGAAGAAAACTCGAAGTCGCACTAGTGTCATGGACCGACAGGCACGGCGGCTGGTCAGCAAGAAGGAGAGAGATGACAGGTGGGGAAGGCTAGTTACCCACTATGGGGCCAGCTTCAGGATTTTTCTGGAATTCTGGGGAAAAAACATCACCACTAAACATTTTTTTTTTATTTATAAAACTATCATATAAAACATCTCTCACATCTGTTTCAAAGCAAGCTTAGTTACCACATCATTCTCACGTCATCATACTTTTAAAATCGAAATATTTCATTCACCTTATACAAATAAACCCTACATTAGGTCGATGTGAGTAAATAGGTACAAATTTGACCGCATGTTATTAGATATGCGGTTGGAAATGCTGTAGTTCTTACCTGTGATGTCTCTCACCACCACCCCGCCCCATTCAGCAGTAACGAGGCTGAGGAGGGCGCTGACGGGGGGAGCGACAATGACTTCGAGGTGGAGGTGAAGAAAGAGGTGAAGGACGGAGCTGGGAGGCTGTTCTGTGCATTTACGTACAGCTGGACAGCGTGACAGTTCCAGTAGGGACCAGTAGTGGCCACTGTTGGATGGGATTTAGGGATTAGCCCTAGTTAGTGCTTTAGCATATGGCTGCACACTGCAGGATATTTGGCTGTACAGTTGCCTGAGAAAAGGTTGTCTCTCTGCCCTCGTTCCACAGGCCGAAAAACAGGCTACAGGGAGTCAGATGGGAGGTGGGGACAGGGCAGCATCCAGCCGGCCCGGCCCGCTACGAAAAGAGAGCCAGGGCTCACAGTACCGGCACCATCCCCTCCGAGCCCGCCGGCGCCCCCCGAAGGGCATGTACCTCATGCAGGAGGACATCAATGCCGTCTCGGCCTCCTCAGATGCGGGGGTCCTGTGTCTCAAGCAGCTGGACGGCCAGTTGGTGTCGCTGAAGAGACGGGTAATGTTGGTGCAAGTGGCTCCACTAAGGCGTAGAACACAGGACTTAATTGCTAAATTAACATTCTGCTAAAAACCAACTAAATACATCACTAATGTTTACATTTAATGCCCTCTAACAAAACCTGCGTACTCTCCAGCACTCCCTGTGATTGTTATATACGTACTTGACAGCTAAGTACAATGACTAAGTATTTTATAGTGATTTTGTTAAACCCTATTTTCCTTATTCAGTAACAATTCTTCATATAAGGCCAGGCTCCCTACCTCTTCTTTTTCCGAGAAGCTCTGAACTTCTCCTGGTCTTCTAACAGGTCCAGAGCATCAAGCAGACCAACAGCGGCCTGAGGCTCAGCCTGGAGGGAGGAATTGAGACCATAAGGCCTACGGAGGTGTGTATCTGAGTACTTCTTCTGAATATAGGATGCTTTGCCCAGTAGAGGTGATTTTAGGGCTTTTTTTTTAAGGTTGGGGCATAAGAGGGGCCATGAGTCATGCAGGAGGGCTGACCTAATCATTAGCCAATAATATTTTGAATCAGTGAGATGGGGAGGGGCCACCTCAGGGGCCAATCAGCTTAGACCTATGGCCCCGCCTCTATATACCTCTCTTGCGCAGACTTGCTCACTCTCACGCCTTGTCTGTCTCTCTGCAGTCTGTCCCCAAGATCAACTCCCGCTGGACCACAGAGGAGCAGCTGCTGGCCGTCCAAGGTGAGGTGACATTCGCACGGGAGGCTGTGGAGGTGGCCGTTCGGGCCTGGTGGAGAGGCTCTTGACTTCACCGATCAGGACACGGCCCTATCTGTCGTCCACAGCAATCAGACGCTACGGGAAAGACCTCGCGGCCATCGCTGAGGTGATCGGGAACAAGACCGTCTCCCAGGTCAGCTCCTTCTTCATTAACTACCGGCGGCGCTTCAACCTGGAGGAGGTGCTACGGGAGTGGCAGGCGGAGCAGGAGGTGCTGCAGGAGCATCCCGGGGGGCCTGGCGACTCCAAGGGGGCGGCCGAGGCCGGGAGAGGTTTTTCAGGGGGCAACGGCAGCACAGAGGAGGACGAGGTGAGAGGAGCGGTAGGGCCAGGAGGAGTTCAAAAGACGGGAACACTAGAGGAAGGAGGTGACGTGGAGGAACTGAACCTCCACAACAGGAGGACCGGCTGAAATGTGATCTCTTATCAGTGAAAATATGGTGTCATGTTATTACAAGCAGGGATATCACCAGCTCCGCCCCCCCCAAATAAATGGACATTAGTGATGTTCCTGAGCGGAAGTTTGTTCAAATTTAAGTGAAATTTGCTGGAAGTAAAAGCAGAATTATAAATTTAATTCTAAGATCTGCTAGTCAAATTGGAGAAACGCAAATCATGTACCACAAAAAAAAAGATTCAACTGGGACTTGAGCTGAAGGACTGTGGGAAATGGACACCCTGTTCACTGTGACCCAGTGAGATTTCCTTCCCTCCAGGTCCAGATCACCGCAGAGTTCTCTTCAGCTAACAGGACACCAGCTCCTGTCATGGCCGATAATGCAGATGGCACCGGCGTAACCCAAAGCGCGCCTTCTCTGTCTCAGCCACCCCCGCTGCTGCGCCCCGCCCCCCCAAGTCTCCTCCGCCAACCCCCGCCCCTGCAGACCCGCCCCCATCAGCTGCGTACCCCTCACAACCACCCGCCGCCTCCTCTTATACGCCCCGCCATGGCTGCTGCCCGCCACCAGGGGGGGCTCCGCAACACCCAGGGCTCTCTCCCCAGTTCCAAGTCTCCGTCGTTGTCCACCTCAGCCGACCAGCTGCCACTATCGCTGGTGGGGGTGAAGATGGAATCACCGCAGGCTAACTGATGGTGCAGCCAGGTGAGGAAGGGAACACAGGGTCTCGAAACAAGGAGGCCTCGATTTGACTCAGAGTCGTTGGTGATCTTGACCTGCTCAGCACGCCATGAACAGCTAGGGGTCGAATCCTTCAACCGGACACTTGAAATAACCTCCTTTCTCTCTCTGTCATGTAGATTTCTTCCTCTTCGAGCCACACAAAAAAAACAACAGCCAACCTCAACCCCATCGTAAGAACCCTCAGAATCTGGGACGCAGAGGACAACAGCTGTTACCTCCCGACCCATGACTGTGACAAAAGTGACCTACAGGCTCAGCTGACAATTGACCAAATTGTACGGCGCCTACAGGTGACCACGAGGATCCATTTTGAAACCAAACAGTGGTCTTACCCCCACACACCGAGACCATCCAACCAAAATCCATATACACTGGAATGTTGTGGCTGATGAGGTGAACTATGACAAAGGATTTACTTGATTGGTCCCTGGCAGAGCTGCAGGGCGACTCCAGACACGTTCTGATAGGCTGAATGCAGAATGGTATCTATGGAGACGCAGCATATGTTTGCGGCTTGGTGACATCAATCCCACGGTGAAGAGTCGTCAATCACCGATGAGCCATATCGCACTAGCCATTTGAGAAAATAGTAGTAGTTAACCTGTATGTGAGAGTTTTCCGGCTTACTAAACAGAGAACGGTGCGTGAGATCATTCTGACCTATTCATTTGGCTTAACTAGTCCCATTACGAGTTAGTTAATACCCACCCTTTTCTCTACATAAACACTAAACACACTGCTATACACTATTTTTTAGATGGGGGTACAAAAAAAGCAGGCACCAATGTTCTACATAATTTGGAAAAAGTATTTTTATATTATGCCACACACGTATAAAACGGTGAAAACAGTCCTCTGATGGCTTGTGAGTTTGAGACCCGTTTCTAACCTTTTTTTGTCTAGAGTAGAACCAAAACACTAAAAAGTTAAATTTGACCTGGACTAAATGAAACTAAATATGTAGACATCATGAAACGCACACGGAAGCAACCGCGCAAGCGTAGGACGGAGTCCACCCTGTGCTTGTGAACGGGTGTGGGATCAGTTTTCGTTGTATGTGGACCTGTCGTATTGTTAGAACCTTATTTAAAATAAAATACTGCATCTTGAACCATTTGTAAAGTCATCCATGTTTCGTTAATCTAAATCCAATTAAACAAGGGGAGATTGAAGGACATCACACACACACACACAAAAAAAACCATAATGGGAGTATGACCCCATTCTAACTGAAAAGTTTTGTGTTTTGCGGACAGTGGTTCTTGGATTGTCAGTTACTTGATTATCCACACATTAACACTGTCTGTCATTTGAATAGCGCCGCCCGACAGATACTCGTTAATGTGCCAATGAACCCTTTTAACGTACGATTTTATCCAAGGCGATGCACAATTGAGAAAGTAGGGCCATCCAGTCCCTGAAGCAATTGGGTTTAAAGGGACTCATGCTAGCGTCCAACTTGAATCCACTCTGCGGACCCGGGGATTCAAACCGGCAACCTGTTAAGCCACACACTGCACCCCCCCCCCACACCTCAGTTCCCACTGGATTCAAAATTAACAACTTGACAAACCAGATAGATATTAGTCAGCAAGTTGCATCAGTAGATAAAGGAGTATAACCAGTTGAGCAGCCCCTCTCAAGCCACGCATAGAGCCAAAGCACTAAAGAGCAACACAGTGTGGTCCCTGTCCAAACCATATCCTTTATTTGATTACCCTATATACAAGCAGCTGTAGAAAACCCACAAGGTGGATATGGATGACTGATGCGAAGGCGCTTTCCGGGGGGGGGGCGAGAGTGCTTACAGCCTCGCGCGCTCGCATTATTTAAAACAACATTTAAAAGACATGAGCGACGTTGTTTATTCTGCAGCGATGTACGGTTACAGAGATACCCAAATACTTACAGTCCTGATTTAGGAGTCTGCATCCTGGATTCAAGATTCGGCTGGGAGTCGCTTATTTTCTCTATACAAAGTTGAAGTTGAGCAACACAAAAAAAAAAAATCAAAAAAAAAAAATCATTCAACTTTATTCTTATAATATTAATAATTTTCTTGAGAAAAAAAAGGCAACAAAACTCTTGACTCACTCCAGTGCAGCAGTGTGAGACTATCCAGCAACTTAATTACAATACAATCCACCGATAATTACTAAATTGGCCCTTAACAAGATAAATGACCCCTGCGGTAAAAAAAAAAATATGAGGAAAAAAAAATTACTAATACCGAAAATCTGCACTCTTGACTATTCCAGTAAGATGCAGTGAGGGGATGCAGGGGGGACAAACCGCTTTGTAGAATGGCACTGGTGGGGGGGGGGGGGGGGGGGGGGGGGGGGGGGGGGGGGGGGGGGGGTGGTGGTGGTGGCATAATTCCACTCTCTGCATCACTGGGCTATTCAGACTGTCACTGGTGACTTCAAGGTCACCAATAAAGTCACAGTTGAGCCCCAGCAGGTGCCTCTTAACGCATTTCACATTCGGAGTGTCACAGCTGGGCCACCGTACATCGATGGCGGTCCAAGTGAAAAGGGAGGGGGGGGGTTACTCAAGTAACATGGTGCTGTGGCGCAGCTCTGGGTCACGAAACGAGGGAGAACAGGGACCAAAAAACAAAGAAATAAAAGAAATGCCACATGTTAGGGAGGATGAAGGATACCTGGAGCAATGGGGGAGACCGGGGGGGAGGGGGCGCGGTGGGAACCCCCACAAAACACCGCCCCCTGTAGGCAGCTCTCTGCACTTCCAGCACATGGTCGGTCTGTTCCTTGTCTTTCCCTCCAGCTCCCCTTCCATCCTCCCTGGCTGCCCCCCCCCACCCCAACCCTCACAGCTTGAGCTCGTTGGTGATCTTCGAGGCGATCTTCTTGAAGGCGAAGGAGGTGCCGGAGATGCGCTTGAAGCGCACGCCGTTGAGCGAGAGGCGGGGCAGCTTGCACACCTCCATCTCCCATTGGACGTAGTCGTCGCTGGCCGGCTCGCCCGACAAGCACAGCAGCATGTAGCGCTCGCGCAGCTCGTACTCGCAGCTGTTGGAGTCCAGCACCTTACGGATCTCCTTCATCATCTCGCTGGGCTCCATGGACGACGTGGTCTTCATGCTCCATGTGAAGCGTAGCGAGCGCGGCTTGGGACCCGGGTTGTGCACCGGGCCGCCCACTGGGGGCGCCAGCGAGTCCTTGTTCTCGTCGCCAGGGGGGCCGTGCATGCCGCCCGCCCCTTTTTCGCTCTTTTCAGCTGTGCTGAGCATGGGCCTACAGGTGGGGGAAAAATGCATAACGTAAAATATGAGAGAGGAAGAGATGGAAGAAAAAAAAAAAAAGACAGCAGAAGTGGTCCAAGGATTTTTCTAAGGCGAGGGGGCATAAGAGGTGCCATATTAGCCAATGATGTTTTGAGTTGGAGTGTGACAGCGGCACAGGCCAATCCGCTTTCAGATGGGCCCAGTGCACCTGTGGCCCCCACCCCTGTATACAACCCTGGAAGCGAGAAAAGAAGTGGAAGATGATGGCACCAAATGACGGACTAAGATGGAAGGACGAGCTAAACAGACCGTCACGCAAGCAAAGGAGGTGCGACTGATGCATGGGAACAGAAGCAGACTCCTTCCAAACACACCTGGGACCCAGAAAACTTACAATGCAGCTACAGAGTGACCTGACCTACTTTGCTGCCCCCGCAGTGCCGCCATGGAAGGCGTCTGGCAGCGGGGGGGGGGGGCTACGCGAGTGCGGCGCACCTGCACCAGCCTAACGGCGTAACTCCCAGGTGTGGGGAGTTCCTGACATGGACTTGAGTCGGTCGACAGCATTCATTTTTAGCCAGTGTTCTGGGGGAAACACTGCATAGATGTCCCCAGTGTTGCCCCCTCCCCTTTACATTTTCAGATCCCCCCCCCCCCCATTTAAAATTTTTTTTTTTTTTTTTTAAATGACACAGGGAAGGCATCAAATTATTTCAATTCATTAACTTTAGAATTTCCCACAATGCATTTCACCAAAGCAATGCAGTGAGTTAAGTCCCCATGAAGAGAATGAAATGCAACACGAGCCTGAACGTGTGCGTGTTTGCATGCACCTGCAGGCCGTCCTTATCTCTCTCTCAAAAAAAAAAAAACCTCATTCTCACATCATCTAGAAAATCAGCTGAGGAACCACAACGTTAAAGGCACACTGTTCATTACAGGATGATCTACGATTTGCTTGTATGTTCATTAGTTAAAACCCAGTTATTCTTCAACCAATCAGGGCTTCCCAAAAGGATGTCATGTGATTTGAAATCGGTCCCTGATCGACCAATCGGTATGTTTTTGTTCTCTCACCTGGTGGACTCGTGCCGACCTTCTCCCTCGTGTGAACTCCTCAAAGGAAAACCAACACAGGTTTAGCTGGAGCACGGCCGGTGTGAGCAGATTAATCACCTCACCAAGGACACCCCAGACCCAAAGAGGCCCGCACCTCTGGTTAGTCTGTTATGTACTCGAGGTCCAGCCCCAGCCACACTCTCCTGGGGCGGAACACGTGATCGGTGCAGCCCTGCATGATATCTGGATGACCAGAATACTGCACATTTCTAGAGCTACGTTTCTCTACCCAGTTCTCAAGGACCCCCAACAGTCCATATTTTATTGGACATTGTACCCCTCTCAGCCGCCTGATTGCTTGACTGTTTGGGTCAGGTGTGCCGGGACCTGGGAGGATGGAAGAACGTCGACTGTCTGGAAACCCCCAAGGACTGAGTTGAGAAATAGTTCCAGAGAAATCTTCTATGTGTAACCTGTATCTTTACAGGACTACTGGGCTGGTCACAGCAGGTTCAGCCTTAAGCCAATTTTAACCTGGAGATGGTTTCATAATGGACCAGTGGTGACCAGCTCACTCCCAGGGAAAACACCCTACAGCCCTGTTTAAATTATGTATCTACTACGAGTGACGTCTGTGATGGACAACGCCCGGAATCCTCGATGTTGACACGTAGGGGGTAAGAAAGGAAAGCCAGGCGGTCCGAGGGCGGGAGGGAGCACCCCAAAACCACCACCATTCCCCCACTCCACCCGCAGCATGCCCTCTCCATCCAGGACAACAGTGCAACTTTGAACTGAGCTTGCCTGAGCTGCTGCTTCACATTTATCTGTAATATACAAACTATACAATAGTGGATGTGGTAACTTCACAAGTTTGGTTATTAATAACTACCTCTGGCTTCATAATCTTTGAGGGAGAGGGAAAACAAGTGCTAGTATAAAGTGACGTAAGCATCCAACACCACATATACATTCTGGAAAAGGGGATTTGTTTGCTGCCATCTGCTGGTCAGTAACAATACTGCAAAAAGTAAAAAATATATGTATATATACACACTGTCTGTATCTACTTTTCACAGGAAGCAGCTAGTCAAGGACACACAGTTGGCTAAGAGTGCATTCCACAGCATGCTTGCTAATCACGTCACTGCAGATAGACACTGCTAAAGTACAGCCCCTGTAAAAGGCCACACCTTCTTAATGAATGAAACACCTCATAGGCCACACCCATCTGAAGGCCACACCCCATGACTGAAACCAATCTTACAGGAAAATGGGAGAGGCTGATGAACCAGAATGACAGAGAGGCTCCCACGAGTCAGGCGTCGGCAGACGGTCGGTGTTAGTGTCGGTGAAACTTAAAAGGGAAGGAAAGGCAGGAAAGGAGCAAGAACCCAGTAATGACACACACCACCACAGGGGGGCGCTCTTCTTTACTGCCTACCTTCTCGGTAGCCTGAAGGACAGATTTCTATAAGAAAAACAGCGGATGTAAACAGACATGTACAGGAAAATGCACACCGACGCAGCTGCGAGCCCATATCGGTCACCCCAGACGGGCTCCCGTGCAGAGTCTGTAACCCAAGAAGCGTGAGATTCTATGACGGCAGGGTGCAGGACGAGGTGGCACCGAGAACAGGGCCCAGTCCAGGGGCCCAGTGGTAACTGGACCACACCTTTCTTGTTCACGGTGCCATTAGTGAACTGGCAGGTAAATCAAAATATCAAGAGCATCATCTGATCCTACATGAAGATCCATGTGCTCCGACGATGGAAACAGCTGCTGAAACACAACCGGTCATCAGACTCCCTTCTCCACCTTCAAGAAGAGCCTCGAGACCCATCTGTTCCAGAAATACCTTCACTAACCTGACACCACGCCAAATTCCCTGAACATTCTTAATGTTGCACTTCTTGTTGCTTGAAGTTCTTAGATTTGTTGCTTTCTTTGGAAGATGTTGGGTAGGTCCTGCTCCAAAATTGCTTACGCTCATACCTCGGCTTTCACTGGAAGCCCAATCTATCTGCACTTATCCGTAGTGGATTCCTCGATAGCATGCGTGTTTGCAATGTGGCATTTGCCTCACGTGTACTACGTTGCTTTGCACAAAAAGCATCTGCTAATTAAAAAAACGTAAAGGTGAAGATCACTACTCCCTGGGATAATCGAAAGCGCTTTGAGATAATGTAATGCTGTGAAAATGCGCTATACCAATAAAGTTAAACTGAACTGATTTCCGTGCAAAGAAAGGAGTTTCCTGGCAGTATAACGGGGCTGGTCCCACAGAGCGGGCGGGACATTATAATGGTCCATCTGAAGCAGCATAGAAGGTCCAGAGAACGTGGGTTGGGGTCTCACCTGCGCACAAATTTGGAGGTGAACTTGCTGAAGATGCCCGAGGCCCCTGGACGTCGGGGCTGGCTGTTCCCGTGGGACAGGGAGGGGGAAGCAGGGGGGCCATTGTAGTCCGGGTTCTGAGTGTCCCGCGTAGGCCGCTGGCCGGCGTGGAAAGTGCTTCGGATAGCCACCCCTCTGGAGAAGTTGGTCACCGTGGTGCTGCTGATGTTCTGTGCGGAGGGTGATGCCGCCGGCATCCTCTGGGGGCCGCTATGGAGTCATTTTTGGGAGGGACAAAGATGCAGTCTTAATTTCCTCACAGCCTTTGCCGTGTCGATCTGTACACGTTAAAGTCGATAAATCGGACTTACAACATTACCTTAAGGATCCGAACATTGCACAGAGAGCACCGAACAACCTTGAGAGATAAAACTGTCAAAATCGTGTGGAATTTGCTCAAGAGCCCCTCCTACAGGAAGCGCAAGGCTGCTCATGCGCTCAGGCACGAAGTGGTCATGCAAGCTTTCCAAAAAACGGACGACCTCCCGCACAGTAAAGGCCAATTCACACAAATCACTTTTCCACATGCCGTCACGGTCTGTGCACAGGGTGAGTAACGTAAAAACTTCCTTGTCAGGAGTGTCCCCGTGGACTGTGCGTGTGTAGCCCAGATTTTGGTGTTCGGCAGAGTTTTTGCGTGTCGACTCTGCAGAGTCAAGGAAACTGACTGGGTGTTTACAGTAGGTGGTAAACGAGTAGCAGCATGGATGCTTTGGGGTGAGAATGTGCTGAGGTACCCACATATATAGATAACTCATCACTGCAGGAGATATTCCGGTGCACAAATTCATAGACAGACAACAGCCCAAACACTGGGAAAAGAAGCAATAGAATAGAATAGTTGGTTGATATGTCCTGCACTAAAAGAACATTTCACATGCAATGCACTTTACCGTTTCGTAGTATTTGCAACATTTGTTCATTATTGCTAACTTTGACACATTTCTTAAACTTGTTTAATTGTAACCATTCAACTTAACTTTTAAACTGTTCAAAATAAAAAGTTTCCCTACATTGCTTGTATTGTTTTTTTGTTGCAATACATCTTCCGTTTCCTGGTCAGGTAGAATATAGAATATTACTGCTACATGTGTGCATCGACCATGACCGTCTGCATCCACGGACAAATGTAGATGTGTGTACTGGAGTCAGTGTGCATGACTGTGCACGGACCGTATGCACAAGCTGAAACGTGAAATGTGCACGAGGCTCAAGTGCCCATTAGTGAAGATCTACTGCTACATATTATACTATTGTCCTCAAAGCCAGCGCCCTCTAACGGAGACTGAGCTTTCATTTTAATTTCTCTGACCGTTTCGGTTCGGGCATCTTCACGTTCACTTCTGTAAAACTGCAAGCAAAATCAGGCAAGATGAGAGGCCCATTCACATTGTAGCTCCCTGATGAGTAGAGTCGGGACTGCGCCACCTGGTGGCTAGAATGCTCCAGACAGAACCTTGGTGAGTCTGCAAAACCACCCACATTTCCTTCCCCTAAAACCTAAAAGCTCAGACATACACGTAAACAAGGACGTTCAGGTTCCCGTCCTGTAACCATTACAGTGTCGAGTGGCAATGCGCGACAGGCCAGGCTGACAGCGAGCGGCCATCGAGAAGACGGATGTAGGAGGGACTGAGAGATCAGAGGTCAAAACAGAGCACGCCCC